AACTCTTATTCACTTCATGCTTCTTTTGAGTATTTTTGTAAGTGAATTTTCTAGCTTCTACTGGAGGGAAAGCGTTCAGTGCGGTTTGGGGAAACGATGTAATGCCAAAAATGAGATATTTTGGTGAAAACTCCATTACTAAGTGAGGAGAATTGCTATAATTTTTTATTACCGCTTTTAATAATTTACTCCAACAACTGATTTCCCTGCTTTCATTCATCTTGCATCACAGCCAAGTTACAATAGTTTGATTAATACTTTTACATAATCCATTAGTTGATAGATAATTGGAAGATATGAATGTTAATTTCATTTTTTGTTTTTCTAGAAAACGTATGAATTCTTTTCAGTTGATTCCTGCATACCTGTCTGCCAATATTATTTTTGGTCTTTGTATTTGTATGACACTATTTATTTTGTTTACAAAGTCCTTGGCAGTTTGAGTTCTGAGCTTAATGTTCATAAATACTATGTGGCAAAGTTAACTGCCAGATGCAAATATTGTTTCTTCAAATTATATCCTTTAAATCCTCCCACTGTATCAATTTCTAATATCAAAGAGATCTTTGGCTGGGAGATGGAATAGTTCTTTGTATTTCTTACAACAGTTTATTTTATTAAACTGGCAGATCTCACAGCTATTTACAAAAGTGGACACATCTTTTAACATATTGGGCCAAGTGGACATACTAGATATTAGTTGCAACATTGTCTTTGTTCCTACGTGTCCAAATTTTTCATGGCTCTTTTTCAACAATCTGAATTTAAGGGACTTTTGGTATTACAATGCTTGTTTGATCTTCTTTAATTTCTACAATTAAGTCATTTCATTTATGGTAATTTTCAGTAGTCAGCTCTTCCTTTTGTGCTGAAACAATGTCTTCTCTTTCAATTAAATTCACAATTTTGGTATTGTCCAACATGAGGCCACTATCTAACACATTTCTGGATAGTAGGTCAGCTTCTATGTTAGTAGTTTCAGGGCTACATTTAACATCAAAATTATATTGACTAAGATGTAATGACTGATTAAATAATTTTAAATTTGGTTTTTTAAAAGACCACAACCATTTTAAGTTTGATGATCTCTTATTACTGTAAATTTTTTCCATAAAGATAGTGGTGCCAATAGTCGATTGCTTCCACTATAGTTAGACATTTCAGTTCCATAACACCATCATTTTTTTGGGTAATCTAATAGTTTTTTGAAAAATAACCAATTGGATGTTGTTTTCTGTTGTCTTGAATTTGGTTTAGTACTGCCCTATTCTGTGTTTACTGGCATCTGTATGTAGATATAATTCTTTGTCTGGGTTAAAGATGTACAAAACTGGAAAACTAGTTAAATATGTTTTATTGTTGTTGAAGGCATTTTGGCATTCTGAATCCCAAATAAATTTTCTATTTTTCTTTTAATAAATTGTGCAATGGATTAAAAAAAAAGAGCTTTGGGACATTGGGTATGAAATGATGATAATAGTTTTCTTTACCCAGAAATCTCAGTAGGGTCTTTACATTATTAGGCTTGGGAAATTCTTTAATCACTGCAACATTGTCACTTACAAGGCAGACTCAATTTTTTGAGACAATATGACTGAGATATGGCATTTCTTTTCTTGCAAATTTGCATTTCGATAATTATAGTTTCACACTTTCTTTTTATAAAGCATTTAGGACTAATTCAATATGTTTAAGATGGGCTTCAAAAGAAGTTGAATATATGATATCATTCAGATAATTGCTACAGAAGATAGTCAACTGATACTGATCTAAAACAGTGTTAATTATTTTTTTAAATATGGTTGACTCATTTTTATAACCAAAAGGCACAACAAGACATTCAAAGTGAACGTTCATTGTGATAAAAGCTGTTTGGTATGTATCTTTTTATCACAGACTTCCACTGGAATATGCCAATAGTCAGAAGTAATACCTAAAGTTGTAAACTATACACAATTAAACAATTTATCTAAAATGTCATCAATCCTAGGAATATTTTTTTCTTTGTCCTTTTTGTCAACCAATGTCACTGGGAAAGCTTCACTGGCTCACTGATCTCCAAATAAGTTTGTGTTTTAACAACATATCTGTATGATCATTTATTATCTTTTGATTGCTTAAGGAACAATGATATGTTATTAGTTAATTCAATCTTATAATTCTCAACTTTCATAGACCCAATGTCATATTTATTACTTGAAAATACATTTGATTTTTTTGTTAAACATTGTTCTAGTTCCATACTTTGTGCTTTTGATAACTCAGGTCAATGTAGCTTCTCCAGTCCTATTGAAGTTTTCAATTATATCATTTAGATTTAGTTTAAGCTCATTGAGGTTATCTTCTAAACATGTTATAACTAGTTTTTCATCCTGTGAATAATTAGACTGGATTTCTTCTGTTAATTCACTATTTTTACTTAACTGGAAAATTCTATAACTTTGATTGAGTCTTAAGATGAATCAGTTTATAAGGTTTATGCTTACTAGCAAATCATAATTGCTATTATTTACTACAATTAAGTCTACTTCTTTTATTATAGAGCTGATCATTAGATTAACAGTTACCTGACCCAAATATATTTGTGTTAAATTAATGGTTTTGAACTTTATGCATTCGTTTTTATATTTCCAGATTTTTAAACTTTGTTCATGAGTAATTTTACTATCAACAGGTGCTTTTTGCTCCACTATCATAGATTGTCTTTGCTATTTTCTCACCATTGATCATGGAGTGAAATGTGATATGGACTGACCCAAATATAACTCCCTTAAGTTTAAATAAATATTTTGTAATTCATTGGTAATATACATTCTGTGTCATCATTTTCTATTTCAGCAAGATTTACCTTTCCCTTTAGTTCAGTTGACTTTTGCTATTTTTGACAGTCTTGAGCCCGATGGAACCTATTTTGATATCCCAAACTCTCACAAATCTTACAAGTGTTTGGTTTTCTTTTCTGTTCTGAATTAAACTCTTCCTTCCTGTTACCAAAATTACTCATTGTGAATTTATTGGTTCATTTTTCTTTTAAATTTTCTTTGACTCTCCAACTTATTTCATAAAATTCCACAAAAGTTTTTGGTCATAGTTATGAAATATTTTGCCATTTCTTGGGGTAACTCTTCTATTATTAATGGTATGATCTGGAAATCCTCCAATTGCAATAATTTCCCTGTTTACTTTCTTCAGAGTAATTTTTTATTCCCATTTTAGGATGATATTTCAACTTTACAAAATCCACAATAGACTCGGTGGCTTGTAATCCAACTCTCCCTGGCTTTGATTGTCTGAGTATTCAATGTACCAGTTCAGAGCTTCATTTTTTAGATAATCTCCCATTAACATTATTTTATTCTTTTCTTTCCAACACATATATTCAGCCACTGTCTCAAACCTTTTCACCCAATTTTTTAAGTGTGTTGTTATTGCCCCAAAATATTTGAATTTTTGGCTTACATGTTTTTCGGGTTGTGTATCCTCTTCTTTTCTAATAATCCATTCAAGATAGGGTTCGTCATCTCCATAGCTGTCCTTTTCTTTGTCCAGTCCTTCTTGAGAGGCATCCTGTCAAGTTATAAAGGTTTTTCCCTAGTCATTCAATTCCCATTGTTGAACTTGAAGTCTTTTTATCTTGCCTTTTCAAAAGTTCTGTGTAAGGGTCAGGGTATGAAAACCTTTACTCTTTTTTCTTTTGTTTCAGTCATCATATCAATTTTTGGGCACTGAACTATTCTTCTGGTTTGGGTGGTTTACCACTTTACCTTTACATATAGATGAGGATATTTGTTCGTTTGTTCACTATACATTCCTAGCTCTTTTGACCAATTGCTACAAAACTCGGCAATTATGTTCACATACTTCTAACTTAGATAATTTTAATATTTATTATATCATAGATTGGTCACATGGTGTGATAAACCCTTATATAAGATAATCTTTGTAGTTATATAAGTCAAATACTAACACATTTTTAAAATTCTCTATTCCTCTACTGTACACAATTTAAAGAATTTTTAAAATTGTTAGATTAGTCATTCTATGTAATAAACCCTTTGTAGTTATATAAATCAAATACTATAATATAATATAATAGAAGGGTTAGAAGTACAAAGTAATCTAATAATCTTAATCTTTGTTGTTGTTATTTTTTGGCTGGGCAATGCTAGACTCATCTGCTAGTGATTGTTATTTTGAATTTTGGCTCGGTTCACTAAATGAACTTCTAACAATTATGGTGATTAAGATTCAGATATTTGATATTTAATTTACATATTTTGCTAAATAATTTTATGGTCAATCATAAATAAGATGATAATATCAAAGACATATTCTTTTGGAGATTATTTGTTTATTTCATTTTATTGGTAAATTCTATAGAAAAAGCATTCTATTGGTAGTGCTGTACAGTATAAGATTACTGCTACATATTAAAAATGAATACTGAATAAAAACAAATACAAAACCAATAATAAAGTACAAAATCAAAAAAGTAAAAAAAAAGAATGTAATGTAAAAATAAAGTAATTAAAAAACTAAAACAATTGTAAAATGACTTTTTATACTTAGATTTGTAAGATTTAAAATCATAATATGAAAGGGATTCTACATTTAAAAGTGAAGAGAGACCATAATAAAAAGAAATCTAGACAAAGAAAGGTGAAAACTAGGTAGCAAAAGGCCATATACATTTTAAGTTCATTTTTGATAAAACTGCTTTGATAATCATTTAGTAATATGAACACAAAGCCACACTTATCATTAATTGAATGAACATTTTGTAAATAAATATTAAAGATTAGGTTGTTCAGCTATTGATACACCACACAACACATGTAAAAATTTAAAAATTAAGTTTACCAATGTTACAAAAATTACAAGGTGGCAATAAGCTGTGGAGAAATAAACCTAAAAATAGAAAAAATAATAATGAAAAGTTGTGTGAACAAAATATTGCTGAAAGAGATTAATTTTGTTTTGTGTGCATACATTATCATTATTATTATTTTTATTATTAGATGGACTCTGTGAAAGTCAGTTTATCAAGACTGGTATAACAGAAGAAAACAATGATGTTTTTAAAGCAGTAGACATGACTTTATGTGAAAAATATTGCTATGAAGAAGAAAGAGAAAGTTGGCAGCAATTAGAAGAGTTAGTGTCTTATTTTATATTTCAACAATAGTTCAATTTACTTTAATGAAATCAGAAGTATATATCTTCAGTTTTTCAATTAAAATTTTTACTTTTTAGTGAAATACTTGAACTTCATAATTTGGATTTAAATCTTCATCGTGATTCTGTTTTGGGACCACTTATGGATTATCTTGCTTTATGTCCCAATAAAAAAGGTAATTTATATATTAAAATGAAAAATAAAATTTTTGTTACATTATTCATATATAATTATAAGTCTTGTTTACATTTTAAATAATAATAGTATATTCATTTTCAATACTTGTAACACAAAAAACTGTATTCAATAAATTATTTAAATAGCTAAAACATTTTTACTTTCAATAATCTAGTTTCAAGTTAATTCACAGATTAGACTGTAATATAATTTATTATTAATTGAAGTTGAATACAGTCATACCCTGAACTTACGCGATAGGTGGGACCGAGCGATAACCGCGTAAGTCGAATTCGCGTAAGTCGGGGTATAATTTTGCATATAAATACATACAAATTATTTTTAATTGGGGCCGGAGACTAAAGAAAACAATAATTTAGAAAAAANGAAATTTAAACAATAAAATAAATTTCAATCAGTCATTTATTTTAAATTAATTTTTGTATCCACTGTAATTGATCAAAATCCAGAAATCATAGGCATTGTAATTCATATTTAATGTTAGTAATCTGGATTTATTTATAATACTGTAATGTAATTACTAATTCTTTTATAGTCTGTACATCCTTCACATTTGTCCTAGATTTCATTTTAACATCTTATAATTAAAATATGAGAAGTTAAAATTAATCTAGGACAAAATTAAAGGAAAGGTTAAAATTACAAACATAATTACAAAATTGGAAAAAAGGAAGTATTACTTGGATTAGAATGTTATATGGATAACCAGATTATCAACATTAAATAAGCCAGCAATGAGTTGCTCAACTTTCCTGGCAACATTTAAAATTATGGTGGCACCATCTGTTATCATGTTTTATTATATTTTTAACTATTATAAAATGGTAAAAAGCTTAATTTTGAGGGTAGGGATGGGTTTTATAAAAAAATTATAAATGCTAATAACGAGTAAAATTGTCATTAAGTTCAACCCTACTGGAGATACACACTACTCCCATTATTTCCCCACCCCCTCGATCTTTTTTTGGTTTAATCTTTAAACCAAAATTTAATAGCATTAATACCCCTAATAAACAAACCTCTCTGAAAAAATTCAGAAATTTTTGACAAAAAGCACAGGAGTTATTAAGCTTCAAACAGGGTTTACACAGGACAAACTTGTGGTCCCACCACACACTAAAATCCATACCCACAGAAATTACCCCCAAATTTTTTTGCATTTCTCGACGTTTCAAATTCCAGATTTAAAAATCCAGGGGAGTCATTTTTTGCCGGATTGCCATACTTTTCCTCTGTTATATATATAACAGACAGGAAAGTAAAAATTTAGTCAATTTATGAAACACAGTAAATTGATCAGAAACTCTGAAAGTGATCAAAAACATTCATTTTTTTCAATAAATGTTGGAATAAGTACAGGTGTCTGTGAGTTATTATATTACTTTCCAGCTTTTTTAACATTTGTTAATGTTAAAAAAAATATTAATGATTATTATATCAAGATTTTGACATGTAATCAATTTAAAAAGAAGCATAAATTGAAATTTAATTTATAATATATCAAATTATTTCTCTTGACATTTTATATGCTTTTGTAATGTTTCTAATGCTATTAATTTAATAATACAATGATTGTAAACATCAGAATGGTTATATATGATATATGTTTCTGAAATTGAAGTTAATAAATTCTGAAAACATTTCAAGATAAATTGATATTTTTCATTGGCTTATGAGTGTAAGCTTGAAAGTAAAGATTTTAATTTATAAATAGATTTAAACATGATGAAATAATCAAGGTAAAAATGAATTTTTATATCATTAGGTTAATAAGTTTACTGATGATTGAAAAGCATTTAATACTAACAGTTTATTACTTAATTTAAAGATTTAATTCAGGATTGACAATACCTCTGCAGTGTTAAATTTAATAACTTGTAAACAAATGTAATGTGTTAAATTATTTTAAAATAAATCAAAGTAAATAGTTTTAATGATTTTTAAATGTAAGAAATAATGTTAAATAATTCTAAAGTTTTTTTATTTTAATGTTTAAATGAAATAGTAAATATTATTAAGTGTTACTATATCATCTAAAAATAGTTTTCTATTATGATTAATATATTATATTAGTTCATTATCATCTACATTTTCTTTTTTTTGTACACTTCTAAATATTACATTCTCATAACTACATCTTAGCAGTGTTTTTTCTACAATAATCATACTTCCATAAAAATTTCTTAGTCAAAAACTGGTTTAGTTTATATCATTATTCTACTCTCAATATTCATTTGCCATTTCTAATAAATTTTAATTATGAAACTTATGAAAAGTGTGAAATGAAACTTAGGAGCAAATTAAATGCAAGTTTATTGATATGCAAATTTTATTTATGTTGTTCAGCATATTATGAATATACCTTATCAGATTTAATATATTTTTTTAAGTCTCCTAAAAACTAAAGTGCCACATTCTTATAATCATCTCCAATCAACTATTACTTAACTGTTCTTTCTTTGACCTCTTATTAATATATCTATTACTATATCATGTTTTCTTTATTAGTATCTATTTCAGATAATAAACTTCATAATAAAACTGATAATTACATCAATTCAGCAATATTACTGTTAAATAGAAATATTTTGGTTAAACATTTTGGCCAATGGAGTTCAAACCACGAGTTTACAAGTGTAGTAAAACTTCTCTAACTCAAATGTTTGTAACTTGAATATTTCTTTAACTCAAAGAAAACAAAGCACTTGGTAGATCTCAATGGAATAGCATAGGTATTTAATGCCTCTAACTTGAATTTCTTAACTTGAATTTTTTCCAAGTCAAAGGTTTTGGTGGTCCCCAACACTGATTTATGTTACTTTCAACTTCTCTGACTTAAATTTTAATAAATCTGAATAAATTTTAATATTTATTCTATCCAAAGTGATCCTAATTATTGGATTTCCATGAAATTTTCACACAGGTATATCTACTCTCTGACACTAATTTTCAGACACTGTTCCAGTTCAAAGTGAGAGGACCTCTCACTTTATCTCAACAAGATGTACCTGCAAAACTGTTCAATTCCATTAGTTATATTGAACAGTTTGCTAAAAAGTATCACACAGACTGTTTAAAGAAAACTATCAAAGATTCTTTATATAATAAAAAGAGGTAAAAGTATAAATCTATTCAGAATCAGCATTTTTTACTCTATTTTCTAACTCAAATCATTTGTATTAGGTTGGTGCATAATTATAAGCATTTTTGTTGGCAGGTTATTTTTTTTTAAATTGCTGTTTTGTTGACTTTTTTTTAATAAAAATATTATTTTATTTTTAGATTATAAAAATGTGTGTCAATAATCATACTCATATTTGTCATATTATGCTTTACCACTTCGAAAAAGGATGGAAAGCAGCACAGTCATTTCGTGATCTCAACAAACTTTTCAGCGAAGGAACAATCAGCGAAAGTTGATTCAGGAAATGATTTGCCCATTTCAAATCTGGCAACACTAGCTTGGAAGATAAACCAGGAAGAGGTCGACCATTGGATTTTGATGACCAGGCACTTTTGGCAGCTGTGGAAGAGGATAAAAACTTGATAACTCGAATGCTGGCTGAAGACTTCAATGTGGACCATTCAACTGGTTCCCCCACAACTCTCCAACAACAATAAAGCTGAACGTGTCCAAATTTTCATTGATTTGCTGCAACAAAATGAGCAAGCTCCATTTCTGAAGAATCTTGTCACTGGGATGAATTATGGCTTCTGTTCAAAAACATGATTAAAGGTCGACCTCTTCCTGGCTTATCTTCCAAGCTAGTGTCACCAGATTTGAAACGGGCAAACCATTTCCTGCATCGACTTTCGCTGATTGTTCCTTCGCCAAAAAGTTCGTTGAGATCACGAAATGACTGCGCTGCTTTCCATCCTTTTTCGAAGTGGTAAAGCATAATATGACGAATATGAGGATGATTATCGATATGCATTTTTATAACCTAAAAATAAAATAATATTTTTATTAAAAAAAGTAAACAAAACAGCAATTTTTTTAAACAAATAAGCCGTCAACAAAAACGCCTGATAATTATGCACCAACCTAATAATTTGAAGTTTTTTCCTGCCTCACGTAGCTTTGAATTAGAGAAGTTTTAATGTACTTGAAATTTATCATGGACTCAATGAAAACTTTTGTCAATTTTCAATTATTATGTATTTGGTTTGTAGGAAAATCTTCAAAAATTACATTAGAAATAAAGAAATTGGCAATTTGAACAAACTATAGAGTGAGCTGTATAAATTTAAAATGTCAACTGCAAACAGGGTAACGGTAATTTTGTTTACATTAATGAACAAAATGACCATGAGATTCCAGCAGAATTTAGTTTAATAAAATCAATATTTCTGACATATTTTAAAGGTAAATTAAAATCTGCTGAAACCTCACAGTTGTTTTGTTCATTAATTTTGTTTCCAGTTTTGGTTTATTTGCATTTGTATACATTGATATTAAATAATGTCTTACATGTTGTTAATTGAACATATGTTTACATTATTTGGAAAAAAGTGAAAGTTAGTAAATATAAATTATATTAGTGAGATTTTAAGAAAAGAGTTCAGTTATTATTATTATTATTATTATTATTATTATTATTATTATTGGATATTATTTGCAAACTTCAGCCTTTATTTCCCACCTCATAGAATCTACTCTTTATAAAGAAATCTCAACAAAGAAAACAGGCAAGATAAGTATAATTATCAGAGATGTAAATTATATGTTGTGATTAGAAAATCTTTTGGCTAACTACAGTGTGATTAACATCTTTGATATTTATCTTATTTGTTATATTTAGTATTTATTTGTTTTTTCATTCAATTAGAATAAATATATTTTTGCAAATATTGTAAAAATATGAAACTTTTTACAAATTTTTGCTAGATAATATAGTTGTCATATAGTTGCTGCTGACATGAAACTTAGAAAAATAAAAGTAATATGACATTAGGCATAATGAACTTAAATCCATA